CAGAGCTCCACCCCTATGAGCCTCACCCCCCACAGACCACCCCCTAGGTAGGTAGGTCACCATTACTTTCTGCTTTAGATTTTACTCCTTTATTCTCTTGTTAATTTCCTGCATTTTGTCCTTTCAGAGTCTGTCCTGTCCCCTTCTGCTGGACACAAAACGACCCACCACTAGGCCTCTGGCCAGCTTGTAACATTGAGGCAGGGATCTCAATCCCCACCTAGCTCCCCTGAAGAACCAAGTCCCAGCCCCCACACGCTATGTATGTAGGTGACCATTACTTTCTGCTTTAGATTTTAGTCTGTTTTATTCTCTTGTCAATTTCCTGGTCTTCCTCTCACGGCCTATCCTGTCCCTGGCTGCAGGCCACAGACAGACCCAGCACCAGGTCTCTGGCCAGCCAGTGATTCTGAGGCAGGAATATCACTGCCAACCTACCACTCAAGTAGACCCCAGCCCCAGGGCCACACCCTAGGTAGGTAGGTCACCATTACTTTCTGCTTTGTATTTTAAACTCCTTTATTCTCTTGTTAATTTCCTGATCTTCCTCCTCTCACAGCCTGTCCTGTCTCCCTCTGCAAGCCACAGACAGATATAGGGCCATGCCTATGGCCAGCCAGTGATTCTGAGGCAATGACCTCAGTGCCCACCTTCCTCTCCTTCAGAACCCAGCCCCAGCGCCCACCTGCTAGGTAGGCAGTTCACAATTACTTTCTTTTTTGAATTTTAAACTCCTTTATTCTCTTGTTAATTTCCTGCTTTTCCTCCTCTCATAGCCTGTCCTGTCCCTGGCTGCTGGCCATACACAGACTCAGAAGTCAGCCTCTGGCCAGTGAGTTATTCTGAAGCAGGGAACTCACTGCCCACCTACCTCTTCTGCAGACCCTAGCACCTGTACCCACCCACTAGGAAGGTAGGTCACCATTACTTTCTTCTTTGGATTTTAAGCTCCTTTATTCTCTTGTTTATTTCCTGCTCTTCCTCCTTTCACAGTCTGTCCTGTCTACACCTACAAACCACAGACAGTCCCTGAGACAGGTCTCTGGCCAGCCAGTGATTCTGAGGCCGGGACATCCTTACCCACATACCTCTCCTGAAGAAGCCATCACCAGAGCCCACCCGCTAGGTGGGTAGGTCACCATTTATTTCTGGTTTAGATTTTAGGCTATTTTATTATCTTCTTCATTTCCTTCTCTTCCTCCTCTCACAGCCTGTCCTGTCCCCGGATGCAGGCCACAGACAGACCCAGCGTCAGGCCTCTGGCCAGATAGTGATTCTGAGGCAGGGACATCACTTCCCACCTACATTTTTGCAGACCATAGCCCCAGCACCCACCCGCTTGGTAGGTAGCTCACCATTACTTTCTGCTTTGGATTTTAAGATAATTTATTCTTGTGTTAATTTCCTGCACTTCCTCCTCTCACAGCATGTCCTTTCCCAGGCTGCAGGCCACAGATTAACCCAGTGGCAGGCCTTAGGCCAGACAGAGATTTTGAGGCAGGGACCTCACAGCCACCTACCTCTCCTGCAGACCCCAGTCCCAGCGCCACCTGCTAGGTAGGTAGGTCACCATTACTTTCTGCTTGGATTTTTAAGCTCCTTTATTCTCTTTTTAATTTCCTCCTCTTCCTCCTCTCACAGCTTGGCTTATTCCCAGCTGCAAGCCACAGACAGTCCTAGCGTCAGGCCTCTGGCCAGCCAGTCATTCTGAGGCCAGTACATCAGTACCCACTTACCTCTCCAGAGTCCCCAGACCCAGCTCCCACCCCCTAGGTAGGTAGGTCACTGAAAGGCCACCGGCCACCTGGCACAGCAGGCTTTCTGTCCAGAGGATACGCGACCCCCAATCAACCACAAGAGTCGGTTCTTGATGCAAAATGCAAGAGGTTTTATTTTTCCAGCCGGCTGGGTTCCAAGCAAACACCTGACTCCGCTGGACCATGCAAGGACCCCGTTTCTAGAGTTATAGGTATTTTTATAGGCAGGAGAAGGTATGTGGAAGTTTAACGGGTAACTTTGTTCATAAGGGGAAGAGCAGCAGCTTTTGTGATACAGGTGCATGGGTTGTCTTTATAGTTTTTTTAGGTCCACATTCTGCTTGTTCAGTTCCTAGAGGTTTGCATAACTAAGTCTGTCTCGGGGCAGTTTATTACAAGGGCGTTTACCTGGCCATAGTACAAAAGCGAAAGGACAAAAGGTTAAATTTTTTACAGAACAGAAAAAAAGCCAGTTTAAATTTATTCTTACATTTCCCCATTTTGCGTTTTTGGGAGAAGTTTTAATCATAAAACTTATGGACCCACAAGGGCATTGGGATGATTTTCTGACTGTTGGAGAGTCTGATATTGTTGTCGGAGCATGAGTATTTGAACTGCGCTTACTCGCTCACGGACGAAAGTGACTAGGCGGTTTAAAATACAGGACCCGGAAGTTAAGATGAGAAGGAGTATAATTAGGGGACCCATCAAACTAGAGACAAGGGTGGTGAACCAGGGGAAGCGGCTATACCAACTTTCGAACCATCCCTGCTGGGCTTCTCAGTCTTGACGCCTTTTGTTTAGCCGTTCTCAAAGTTAGTCATGGAGTCTTTAATGACTTCTCAATGGTCTGCATAGAAACAGCATTGTTCATTTAAAGCAGCACATAGCCCCCCTTCTTTAAGGAATAGGAGGTCGAGTCCTCACCTGTTTTGTAATACTACTTCAGACAAGGAGGTTAGGGACTCTTGAAGTTTGGTTATTGAGTTTTCTATGGCCCGTAGATCTTCATCTATGGCTGCACACAGGCTTTCTGCATATTGGGGGGCCTGTATAAGCGCAGTTGTCCCGGTTCCAATGCCCACGGCCACTCTGAGGCTTAATAATACTGCCAGAGTGGTCAGCGAGACTGGGTCCCTCTTTTGTCTAAAATGTTTAAGGCCGAATTGGTTTTCAAAGGTGTCAGACGCGTAACAGATGACTCTGGGGAGTATCTGTACTAGAACACAGTAGTCAGAGTTGGGGTTGAACACCGAGGAAGAGACGCAAGGGGTCAGCCCAGTACTACAAGCCCACCAACTCCCAGGAGGGGGAACTAAGTATGTATCAGTGGAGTGGATGGTTGAAATAGTCTTATTACA